AATGATAAAAAATAAATATTTTTGAAATTAAAAAAATATCAGATTTCCATCTCACACCAGTCAGAAGTCATTAAGAAAACAATACTATGCCAGGCATGGTGGCACATGCCTTTAATCCCAGCACTCGGGAGGCAGAGGCAGGCGGATCTCTATGAGTTCAAGGCCAGCCTGGTCTACATAGTTCCAGGACAGCTGGGGCTACAGGGAGACCCTGTCTCAAAACGACCAAAAGGAGGAAGGGCAGAGGAAATATACTGCCAGTGGGACCCTTAAACATTAGTAGTGAACTGTTAACTAGTCCAGCCCCTATAGAAACCAGTATGAAGTTTCCTCAAAAAAATAATAAAGGGTCAGCATAACGGCTCAAAAAAAAAGCATTTGCTGTGTGAATCCAAAAACCAGAGTTCTATCCTTGGATCTGACAGCAGAAGAAAACTAACTCCTGAAAGCTATCCTCTGACACATACACACACATACACGTACACAAGGGTACACAGGTGTGTACACACACACACACACACACACACACACACACACACTGTGGCTTGCATGTTTGCACAAACAATAATAAAATAACAATAAAACATTAAATATAAAACTACAACATGACCCAGGTATACTACTCCTAGGCCAACACCTGAAGAACTTTTTGAACTTTTATTTTTTTAAATTTATTTATTTTATGTATGTGTGCACTTACACATGTTATGGCTCACATGTGGAAGTCAGAGGATAACTTTTCAGTCAGTTTTCTCTTTCCACCATACAGGTCCCAGGGATCAAACTCCGGTTTCTTAACCATCTCCCAGCCCCCTTATGTCCCCATACTATTAAGATCCTTGCACATCTGTGTTTATTCCAATACTATTCACAGTAGCCTAGTTATAAAATGAGCCTAGGTGTCCCTCAACAGATAAACAGATGAAGAAAATATGTACACATATATGTACACAGTGCAGCTTTATTCAGTCATAAAGAATGAAATGACCTCATTTGCTAGAAAATGGATACAACTAGAGATGAGCATACTGAGACGAGCCAGAGACAGACAAATACACCTGCACTCATTTGTGGATCCTAGATTGTACAGGTCCATAAAACTAATACTGATCTGACACAAAAGCAGAAGGAAGACCGGGAAAAGGTAATGGAGGGGAAGAAGAGGTATCTTTGAGCAAGTATGGTCGAAGGAAAATACGCTTGAAAGAAACTGTCTTTATGAGCCAGGTAAGGAGGCACAAACCTGTAATCCCAGCATGTGGGAGCAGGAGGCAGAAAGATGAAGGATGGGAACTCAAGGCCATCCTTGACTACATAGCAAATCAAGGCCCACCTTGGCTACATGAGACCCTATCTCAAAAACCAAAGAAATATTGGAGAGCTCAGTGGTTAAGAAAACTTACTGCTCTTCAGAGGACCTGAGTTCAACTCCTAGCACTCATTTCAAGTGGCTCACAACTGCCTGAAACTCCAGTTCCAGGGCAGGAAAAGGCAGGTGTATCCCTGGGAGTTCAAAGCCAGCCTGCTCTACATAGCCAGTTCCAGAGGTCATGTAGCCCAGGCTGACCTGAACTAGATCCTGCCACCCCTCCTAAGTGGGGATTACAGACATACACACTCTGCCATGCTTAGCAATATACCCTTTCTGTCCAATCTTATTACAACACAGTTCCTTCAGTCACACGTATGCAGTACACAGCAACAAAGTCTTCATAACAAAACAAAATCAGGGCTGGAGAGAAGGGTTTTTACAGAGGACCCAAGTCCAGTTCTCAGCATCCACTTTGGGGGGGCTCACAACCACCTATAACTCCAGCTGCAGAAGATTCAAAGCCTCTGGCCTCTGAGGTCACCTGCACTCATGTACACATACCCACACATTAACGAAAAAATTTTTAAATTAAATAAATCTAAAAAAAAATGACAAGGAGTTAGTAGGGATTCCTGGAGGGTGGAGCACCTGGAGAGAAGGGGGGGGCTTAGCACCTTCTCACACTTCACCCTATATGTAATAAAACCTTCACAATACACCCCAAAGTGTAAGGCTCAGTTCCCCAAATTTTGTGACAAATTAATCAAACCTAAGGAGAGGCTTATAGGAATCCCGATTTATAGCGAGTTGGACAGAACCAAAGGAAAGAAAGAGAAAAAAAAAAGTCAGGCATGGTGGCTTATGCCTATAATCCCAGAACCTGGGAAGCTGAAGCAGGAGGGTATAAATTTAAAGCCAACCTGTACTACAGTGTGAGTTCAAGGTTAACTTGGGCAAGAGTGAGACCCTGAATTTAAAAAAACATGGGGGCTGGAGAAATGGCTTGGGGTGAAAGAGCACTGACTGCTAGACATGAGCCAGGTTCCCAGCACCTACGTGGCAGCTAACAACCATCCATAACTTCAGTTCCAGGGTACACGGATGCACTCACATACATGCAGGCAAAACACTGACACATAAAAAAATAAACAACAGGCCAGGTGTAGTGGTGCACGCCTTTAGTCCCAGCACTTGGGAGGCAGAGGCAGGTGGATCTCTGTGAGTTCAAGGTCAACCTGGTCTACATAGTGAGTTCCAGGACAGCTGGGGCTACAGGGAGACCCTGTCTCAAAAAGACCAAAAAATAAAAAAT